CACACACACCTACCCTCTGCCCAATGACAAACACGTACAGTAAAGAGACGCTCATCTGACAAGAAGCACCCACACCATCTTCTGCTCTTCCTTTTCTCATGTCCTCCGTCACGCTTTCAGAAAACGCTCTGCGTCTCTCGCTCTCTAACATCTAGCCGTTTACAGCTGAAACACTGCATCATCTCTAAACCGTTCACAGCTGATTCTGGTTCTTCCCCGATCACAATACGACAATATGGTTTCCTCAGCGCGCTCACGCTACAGCGGGCCAAACTCACAGCGTTAGTGTGTGTGTGTGTGTGCAGTTTTCCATCAGAACACACACACACGACATCAGCAGACAGCGCACAAATGAAGGGGAAATCTGAGATGAACACACTTAACACAATCAAGATCTCATCAGTGTCTGTGCATAAAACAGCTTCAGTCAGAATACTGACACAGACACAACTGAAAGAAACAATTAACAGCTCTAATAAAAATGAACCACAGACCACAACGAATCACATCTTAAACACACACACATAAATGAAGATCTCTCAATGATTTAGGCTATATTTAACTAGTCAAATTAAATGCAATTCAAACCCTACAAAAAGTTGCAATTGTAGAGTTTGATGAAATCATTATTTTGTGTCTTTATGGTCATTATTTTTTCATATTCAAACACACACACTCCCAGGAAGTTCAGTGTGTATTTCAGTGCAGAAATAACAAAGCTTCAGGCCTCTGAAAAATACAGCTCAATTTATATATATATAAAAAAACAACTTGATGTCTCTAGGCCAGATCAACATACACACACGACATCAGCAGACAGCGCACAAATGAAGGGGAAATCTGAGATGAACACACTTAACACAATCAAGATCTCATCAGTGTCTGTGCATAAAACAGCTTCAGTCAGAATACTGACACAGACACAACTGAAAGAAACAATTAACAGCTCTAATAAAAATGAACCACAGACCACAACGAATCACATCTTAAACACACACACATAAATGAAGATCTCTCAATGATTTAGGCTATATTTAACTAGTCAAATTAAATGCAATTCAAACCCTACAAAAAGTTGCAATTGTAGAGTTTGATGAAATCATTATTTTGTTTCTTTATGGTCATTATTTTTTCATATTCAAACACACACACTCCCAGGAAGTTCAGTGTGTATTTCAGTGCAGAAATAACAAAGCTTCAGGCCTCTGAAAAATACAGCTCAATTTATATATATATAAAAAAACAACTTGATGTCTCTAGGCCAGATCAACATG